GCACCTAATTAGCATCTCATTAGCATAACAGCAGCACTCTTTGGGCACGAGTTCCACTGTCCAATCCCTGCCCTGAGCCCCTCACCTGGACCCTGTCACTTCCTGTACAGGTGTGCCCAAACCCCACCTGTCCCTAAGGCATCTCCCAATTGATGTCCCCCTAATTAGCATCTCATTAGCATCTCATTAGCATACCAGCAGCACTCATTGGGCCCCATTTCCACCATCCCACCCCTGTCCAGAGCCCCTCACCTGGACCCTGTCACCTCCTGTACAGGTGTGGCCAAACCCCACCTGTCCCTAAGGCAACTCCAATTGATTTCCCCCTAATTAGCATCTCATTAGCATACCGGTAGCACTAATTAGACACCAGTCCCAGTGTCCCACCCCTGTCCAGAGCCCCCCACCTGGAGCCCATCACCTCCTGTACAGGTGTGCCCACACCCCACCTGTCCCTAAGGTAACCCCCAATTAATTTCCCCCTAATTAGCATCTCATTAGCATACCGATATCAGTAATTGGGCCCAATTTCCACCCTCCCACCCCTGTCCAGAGCCCCTCACCTGGAGCCCATCACTTCCTGTACAGGTGAGCCCAAACCCCACCTGTCCTTAAGGTAACCTCCAATTAATCCCCCCTAATTAGCATCTCATTAGCATACCGGTAGCAGTAATTGGGCGCGGACCAGACGGTGAGCATGGTCTCCCCGAAGTGCCACTTGTCGCCCTCCATGACGAGCTGGTGTCCCCAAACCTCACCTGCCCCCCAGGTAGCCTCTACTGAACCACCCCTAATTAACACCTCATTAGCATCTCATTAGCATACCAGCAGCACTAATTGGGCTCCATTTCCACCATGCCACCCCTGTCCAGAGCCCCTCACCTGGAGCCCATCACCTCCTGTACAGGTGAGCCCAAACCCCACCTGTCCCTAAGGTAACTCCCAATTAATCCCCCCCTAATTAGCATCTCATTAGCATACCGGTAGCAGTAATTGGGCCCCATTTCCACCATCCCACCCCTGTCCACAGCCCCGCACCTGGAGCCCATCTCTTCCTGCGCCCAAACCCCACCTGTCCCTCGGGTATCTCCCAATTAATCCCCCCCTCATTAGCATCTCATTAGCATACCGGTAGCAGTAATTGGGCGCGGACCAGACGGTGAGCACGGTCTCCCCGAAGTGCCACTTGTAGCCCTCCATGACGAGCTGGTGGGCGCGGCAGATCATGGACACCTCGTTGGCCGCGTTGAACTGCGCCACCACGTCCGAGCCGAACAGGTAACCGGCGCCGCGGGGTGACACGCCCCAGCCCGTGGTGTCTGACAGGTGACAGACAGGTGACACAGGTGACAACAGGTAACCGGCGCCGCGGGGTGACACGCCCCAGCCCGTGGTGTCTGACAGGTGACACAGACAGGTGACAACAGGTAACCGGCGCCGCGGGGTGACACGCCCCAGCCCGTGGTGTCTGACAGGTGACAGACAGGTGACACAGGTGACAACAGGTAACCGGCGCCGCGGGGTGACACGCCCCAGCCCGTGGTGTCTGACAGGTGACA